TCTCTCTCTCTCTCTCTCTCTCTCTATGTCTCTCTCTCTCTCTCTCCTTCCCTCTCTCCCTGTCTCTGAGTCTCCGTCTCTTCGCGGTCAAGCGATAACCGGTGCGTCTGTTGAAGAGTGGCCTCCATTTTGCGCAGCAACCGCTACGCAAAGCTCGCCGATCTATGGGGGCAGGAATCATCGCCGATGGTGTGCCCTGTGCTCGCTGCCCTTGCGGCCCGAGTCGTGTCCTCGGTCTCACTCGTCRCCCTCCTCCATCATCTCCATCTGCCGCCCGTGGTTTGGGTACGTTATCGGAGTCCCCTGCATCATCAGTGCCTGTGGTCTCTCCCGGGGCGACATCTGTGCTGTCATCGTGGACGATAAGTACACTGCCACGTCTCTTCTGATCTGCCACTGCATTCCCTGTGTCCTCCCTGCCGACGATATCCGCCGTCGTTGCATCCCTCCCTCCAACATCCAATGCGTCGCCGTCAGGTGCAATCTCTCCGTCCTCGAGATGCACAACGCCCGATCCTCTCTCTCGGGAACGCATATGTGAGGATGAACGTGACGCCTTCCTTGCCGAGGCCTTCTTCCTTGCCCGAGAAAGACTCGCCTTTGCGACTCTCGTAGCATGGACATCAGACGTCTTCGTCGGCAAAGCACTCCCGTGTCGGTCCTCAAAGTCTGCCATGGCGGTGTGCCGAGCACCATCCACACTCCCAATGGATCGTTTCCCCATAGACGGTGCAGATGGTCTGCCAACGTTCCGGACTCCCTGCTCATCCATCCCCCCAGTACTCTTCCCGCTGGCATAGAATGCCACTGTCGGCAAAACAGTGGCTCTGTCGCGCCGTGCTGTCGCCGATGACCCAACCACAAGCTGTTCTGTCGCGTCCGCGCCACTGCTTGTGACGGGGACACCCGCATCTGCGCCGACAGCCGCGGCAATCGGATGATGCTCTGAGTTTGACGGCGGACTTGGGGGTCTTGCTTCTCTTTCGAGTGTGTCAACTGGCCCACGAGGAGACCCTTCCTCTGCGTCGTCAAACGAATGACAAAGACCGCGTTGTGCAATGCTGCGCTGACCGTCGCGGCGGTGTCGCGTCGCCGTCTCCGCCAAACCAAGGGCCACCTCGCGTAGTTTGCCAACATGAAAAATTGTGGGCGTGGCAGACACCATTGGGCTCGTAATCATATCGGCGATATCGCCTCCTGCCACGTCAAACCCGTCCGATCCACGCTCCATGACAACAGGCTGTTGTGGCTTGGGCGGTGACACATGGGGTAGACCTGGGGATATCAACGTCGACAAGTCCGGTAGAGAAACGAGCGCAGAGTCCATGGTCAGTAACTCGTCGGTACCCGGAAGACTGCCGGTGGGGCATGCGAGGCCGACATGGTCTGCGGCGCTCTGCTCGGCTGCGGGAGTGTGTGAGATATCACGTTCCCGGAGATCGTCGCCTTGATACACAACAACGGTCCCCTGACTCCCCTCCATCAATGCAGACGGTGGCCGCGGTTGAACACTGCGAGGTGGGAGCATACTTTCTTGCTCCGCCGCTGCCAGTGGTTGTCCCACATCCGAGGTCGCTGCAACTGAGACTGCCRCTCCGGCAGACGTGAGTGGATGCAGTGCACCGACAGAACCCTCGTCCCGCACTGCCGGGAGAGGRCTGATCTCTCCMTGAACCTYGGGATGACGCATCAACGGTGCTGGACCCTGTTGCGATTCTRGGACWGCTGCGGAAGGCCCCATCGGAGCTGTCGCGTGCATACTCGAAGTGTCACCTCGTGGATGACCGCTCCCGCCATGCAGCTCGATCCGCTCCTCGCCGTCGTAATCGCTGAAAGAGTCCTCAGAAACAGGAATCTGCCCAGTTGAGGGGACTCGTGATAGTGGAATGCTAGCAACCCCACCGTGACGTTTGCGCACACGTGAAGCGATAGTGTCTTTTTCCCTTGGTCCGCGTTTCAAGCGCCTCAGGTCACCGCCCGAGACAGGTCGTGAACCATCATCATGCACTCCATCTCGAGCGTCATCTACTGCTATGCGGTGCTCGCCCCCTGCCCCGTCGGCGCGCATCGTGTCACCATGTGCAGGTCGTGGCCTATCTCCTCCGTCACTGTGATCATCGCCACTGGCGCCATCGTCGTCGCCA